AGCAAGCTTCACAAACTTACGGAAATGAACACCTAAGTAAGTTCTTTCTTACTTGAAACAGACGCATTATCTAAAACAAGACTGGATCACAATCAATTCACATGGCCAGAGCCACATCCACTGTAACCTTTCGGGATCAACAGTCGTATATAGAAAAGAGTTGTCATCCCCTTCTCTGGAAACAACAATCAAGGCTGTTAAGTGTAAAACTCACTTGTGCAGCGCATTTAGGACTCATAGAATAGGCCCTTTTTGTAAATGGCTTCCCCCATATAATACAGAAATCTATATATATATATATATATATATATATATATATATATATATATATATATAGGAGGGAATGAAAAAGTTGAGGTGGCACCTCTCTTTGGCCAAGAATCCTATTTATCTTTTTTCTCAATTTTTTGACTCTTTTATTCCATCTTTCATTTTACTATTCTAGCAATAAAAGTCTTCATTATTATTACTCCAACATTTCAGATTCTTTAATGTAAACCAGTACCCACGAACTGATTCCATTAATGGTCCTTAAAAATTTGAATTAATAACAAAAATGAGGGACAAAAAGAACAAGTAATGCATAAAACAATAACGGCCAATAGTTATCTCCATATCAAATAGGTTGTGAATTATATCCTCATTAGAAAGGCTTCCTATATTTTCCCTCGTATGCTTTCGAAGAAAAGAGTAAGGAAAGCTGTTGTACGACCTTGGAAAATTTTCAGCAATATCAGGATTACTTAATGTATACAAAATTTATTTTTATATTGTTATTTGAGTTCTGTTCTGGTATTTGTTGCATTTCTGTTGGGTAAAAATTAAAAAAGCCACTCCTTGGCAGTTTTGATTCGTCCTTGTGTGTATTGAATTACAATGTACTTCAAGAGTTCATGTTATGCTTTTGGGATAGTTTCATTTGATTTTTTTAGTCCCACTGCGCTAGCCAAAGCGTTCTCACTCTTCGAAGCAACATTTGATGGGTATGGGATCTGTAATGATTACAAGAAAATATGGTTTTTATTGTCAGGAACAAGGTCCGAGGAGGCATACTGGAGATTACCTTTGAAAAGTAGAAGAGATGGAGGATGGCAGATCAGCGATTTCTCTAAAAACTATTACCACTCTCTTTTTGTGAACAATATAGTTATGTTTAATTGATTTAATTAAAGAGAAGAAAAATAACAATTTTCTTGCATGCATATATGTAGTTTTGACATTGGCACATCATTTAATAAAGAAACCTATTTTTTTCCCTTGCTTTTTCTTTTATTTTTCCATTTACCTTTTTTTTTTTAATAGTCTCTAGGATTATTTAATTTTTTCCTCCCCCATAATTGCTTTATTTTAGATGTTTTAACACCTAATTATATTTTTTCGCAATTTTCCCCTTCCCTTATTATAGTTTATTTACAATATATTTTAACATCTGTATATGTAGTCGTTTAAAAGTTTATTTTCTTAGTGTTTGACATTCTCTTCTTTTTTCTTTCTTTGGATAAAACTTATTTGACAGAGGAAATATATGAATACTTCCTTATAGTAATGTTGCCTTATTTTTCTCAATCACACAAACATTTAAATACATGCTTTTTTAGTTCTTTCTCCTTCTATTGATCTTCTTTTATTCTCTCTTGCCATTTCTTAAACCCTCTCGATTTCTCAATCATCTAAATACCATCTATTATCGATATATTGCCTCTATATTCTTTGTTTTTTTTTTCTTTTCCTTTTCTCCCTCTACTACATCCTTTATTAATTACTTTATCTTTTTTTCCCTCTCTTTGTCCGACGGTTGCGCCATTCTTCATGCTTACAAGTTTTTATTTTCTTCTCTTAATTTCCTTCCAAAATATAATTTCAACACAATACATAGACAATATAAAGAGGGGCGAAAACACCAAGGAATGAGATAATAAAGCAAAAATAAAAATGAAAAAATAACTAAGAGGGATGGTAAAATTAATCTTTGCAATGTATTTGTAAAATGCTCTTTCACTTGTACGTAGTACAACTCTTTGATACTTTTAAATGAAACATCTTTTTAGAGTATTAATTTGTGGAAAAAATCTAAATGTTACTTTTGTTTTATAAAGTGAAAAAAAAGACTGTGTTTAAATAGACACTTTTAGTATGAAAACTTTAGGGAAAATGCATAAGTACCCCCTGATCTATACCTGGATTCTCAACTACACACTTTTTTTTTGCGGGAATCCCATTACCCCCTAAACTTATTTTAAATGAAATTATTTGCACCCTTAACGCTGACGTGGCAGAGTGTGTGTATTTCACTCTCCTTTTCACTCTCCCAAAGGAGAGTGAGAAGAAGGAAAAAATGATTTTCAGATTATTTTATATTCTTTTTTACCATTTTTCTTACTTTTTTTTCCTTTTCCTTTTCCTTTTCCTTTTTCTTTGTCTATTTTCGTTTATTCTTTTTTCGTTTCTTCTCTAATCCCGGCGCATATTCATTCACCGGCAACTTTGTCTAACCGTTTTTCTTCTATTTTTTCTTTTCACACACAAATTAAACTCTCAAAAAGATCTATTCATAAGCAAAACAAAATACACTCAGATTTGGGAGAAAAAATTCATCATCGGAAAATCTTCCCACGCCGGAAATAAAGTGATGTATTGAAATTTTAACTGAAAAAAAATTTCTCAGCTTATTTTCGTTTTTATTTCTTTTGCTCTTCCTCCCACACATAATTACACTTTGAAGAAAAATTTATATATATATATATACATACATACAAAACACATTTAGATCGGGATAAAAATATGTCGCCGGAAAAAAAAAATTCGCCGAAAAAATGGTGTTTGTGAAATTCCGAAGACCACCATTTTATGCTGCCGGTGACCAAAACAAAAAGAAAGAGAATGAAATAACTAAAAAAAAAATGAGAATAATAAGAAATAAGAAAAAAGGATAAGAAAAAGAAGAAAAAATAAAAAAAAGTACTAAAAATATATATGGGGGTGCGTGTAGCTCACCACTTGCCAAGAGTTTGGTTGTCAGCGTTAAGGGTGCAAGTAATTACATTTAAAATAAGTTTAGGGGGTAATAGGATTCCCGCAAAGAAAAAGTGTGTAGTTGGGAATCCGGGTATAGGTGGGGGGTACTTATGCATTTTCCCAAAACTTTATAAATGGTTTATACATTTTAATCGCTGTCCTTCCATGCATTCAAAGAAATAAAATTGATAATTCTGATAATTTATAAAAAAAAATTATCTTTCGAAGATTTTAATTACAGAGAGGTAATTGTTGTGTTTTATTGGCATAATGTTTTTAGCGATAAGAGTTATGCCACATAGTTTTTCTCTATAAAATGTGCAGTAACTTCTCTTCCCCAATTTAAAAGAACCAAAAAAAAAAAAAAAAAATCTCTTCCCAAATTGAGAATATTTTTCCACGCCATTAATTAACTGCAAAAGGTAAGCATTGTTTTATTATTTGCATTTTTTTTATATATGTACTTTTTCATATATATTTGATCTTTAGTAATTATAATATGTATGTCTTAAATTAAATTTATTTAAATTTTTTAATTCAATAAACTTTTTATCTCTTCTATAGTACCAACAAATTTACAAAAAGGAAATGTCAAACCGCGCGAAGTGCAGGTTTGTTAACTAGACTAGATTACGTCTAGGAAACATAATTTAGAGGTATTTATTGTATGATAATTAGTAGTTACAAAATGAGATTTATGTAATTTTATTTCAAAACTTTATATTTGTCAAATGCTCCTTCTGAATTTTTCTTATTAAGTATTAACTCAGATATATGTTGTTATGAATATTTTCTTTCTCATATAGAAGAGAAATAAATAAATTATTACTGAATTCTCAATCATTTCGTATATATCAATAACTCTTTAAATAATTGCGCAAAGCGCGAATGTATTCACTAGTTCTCTTTATATTCCTCATAGATGCTAACAGCAGGACACAAAGACACAGGAAAGTGAACACAATTTTACAAGCTTGCTGAACGAGCTCTGGAGATAAGAGTAAGGGTGCTTAAAAAGATAATTTTAACAGCTTTTTACAGGACATACCTCAACTCTTCAAGTAAACAAGGATTTGATAATTTGCTTCAGAAAAGGAGGGGGTTGGGGTGCTTGGTTGTTTCAAACTTCAAACTGTAGTATCAATTGATTTAAGCCAAGTCAATGTTAGGACAACCTCAACCTAATCCCACAAACCAAACAGGTTTAACAGTTATCTGTTATTCATGATTAAGATGCATGCACCACTTCCTTTTTCATATTTTAGCTTTACCTCATTTTTCTCTTCTTTTTTCCCTTTGATAAGGACCTCCTTTTTCTCATTTTCTTCTAATACTTTGGGGCAAAGAGGGAATAGTAATTAAATATAGCAAAAACCGAAAGCAACCAAAAAGCACATTATTGAGCTTCACACATTGTGTAGTTAGTATGTCAATAATTCAAAAGTGACACAGTAAAGCAAAAACCAAAAGGCCTTACCTTACAATAAGACAATTTACCAATTGTCAGTTGACAACCACTTTGAATGCCTAAAATAGGAAAAGGGGGTCTACTAATGTTTTATGCCTCGTGAAATGATTTTCATTTTATTTTAACTTATACAAATTGTAATATAACTTTCTTGTCCTAGAGTTAAAATGACACTAATAGAAGAGGTAAAAGATGGAGCGGAGGCTAATCATATGATTCATATCACACACAAGCTTAGCTTCAAGAAATAGGAAACTGAGTATCATATAAAAACAAAAACATAAAATAAACTTTAGTAAAAAATAGCAAATAGGAATTTCCTCTAGTATGCGGCAAACTTCAGAACTTCCTTTAATAACAACTTAAAAAGTTTAAGCATTTCAAGCTCATCATTTCTTCAGACCAACCAAACTTAATTCTTCCTGGATGGCATATTGTTTCAAGCAAGTTCTTCAAAATAGTTTTCCCGCTTCCGCACTTCTTCTCATCAGTGTCTTGCATGCAGAGTGTTTAGAGATAGAAAGCAAAACCATGTTCTGAACTTAGATCGCTTACCTGACTTTTGTTCGCAAAGAGTCTAATTCAAGTCAAAATTAGCATACAAATGGAACTAGATAGCGTCTGGACTACACAAACACAGATCTGAATTCAAAAGTTCTGCCTATTAGTTAAAGCTATATACAAATTTAATACATTATTTTCCTGACGGTGAGGGAAAAAATTCTAATCTACATTACATGAAATTGAAGCAGATTGTTCCGAATGCTCGACGTTGCACAGCGCTGCCCCAATCAGATAACACCAACCACAATGACGGTGGCTAAAATAATTCTCAAAGAGCATTATGATTTTAGATATTGGCCATCAAATGAATCAGTTAGTAGAGCTTAACGGTACCACCCGGCTAGTGCTCGACTCTCCAAATGAAACAGAAGCTAAAGACTTGGAAGCCCATGCCTTGGCGTTCATAGCTCCTTCCTGCAAGTTGCTTCTCTTGCATGGCTCCTGCAGTGAATTACATAACTGTATTGCTCGGTTCAGATAGAGCAGAGGAAGCTCCCACAAGCTTCTTATTCTTATATGTAAATTGGACCTTTCCCAGCTGAAATGAGCAATCTTTCGTAAAGCTGGAAATAACTTATAAAGCAGTCTCATTAGCACAAATGCAGTGGCCAAGGCCAAATAAGTTTCCTGCTGAAGAAGGTTTTCAGGAGATCTGGCCCAGGAGAATGGACAGTTTTCCTGGTCACTGCCGTGCAATTTCAAATGATTAGAGGAGCATCTAGTCTTGCCAAGAGAAGTGTCATCCACTGAAGCAATCTGAAAACCTGTTTCATATTTAAAGAGAGGGCTTAAGATAAAGAAAGTCGGAACGATGGCTGCACCTAATAAGCTGCAATCCTAAAAGAATAAACGAACAGCATATTTTAACCTTCTGAAGTAACATACATTAGCTTGAAACCTACTTGCAGCTACAAAACATAGTTAATTATGTATGCGCATGTATACCAAATTAGACAGGCAACATGACTCGTTAATAATTTGAAAGTAAAGTACTAAAAGAGGGAAATGGAAGTTTTGAAAAGAAAAAGTGAGGCGTAGAAATTGCCGAAATGCTGCATTTTCAAGATGCAAAATCACCTTCTGCCCGAAAACACCTTAGCAAAAGCGAAATCACCAACAATTTCGATTAATTCGTATTTAACACTTAGAACGCATCCGGCAATTTTCCTTTTTTTAGTACTTCCTTTTTTTGGGGTGGGAAGGGGGGTTGTTGGATAATGTTACTAATTCTATACAGATTCCCCTTTTAGGGGCACCAAGTCCAAAACACAATAATACAGTTTAACAAACATGCTTACCAGTAGTGCCACTGTAGAATTCAATCAGTGAATCAAGGGTGCGAGAGCCATGATACCGTATGCGCATTGTTGAGTTTAAAAGGAAGAGAGTGGGAAACCCATGAACTCCATACTTTGAGAGAGTGCTGAGAAGACATTCTTAGTTGTCAGCACAATATAGAGAAAGCACATCAATGTAAAACATTAATTTCACACTAACCTTGGCTTAACAGCTGACTCTTCAATTGCGAAATGGGGAATTGAAGGAAACAAAGAAGACAGGACAGAAAATTTTGGCCTACAACTTCCAGAGAAAGGACACCAGGATGCATAGAAAAGCAAAGCAACATAATCATGTGTATTCCGGTGGATCATATTTAGTGCCCTCTGCAATGACAGTTCATCTCCCTTCAAAGTAAAAAAAAGAAAAACGAAAAATTAGAACTCCTCAAGAAAATAAATAAATAAATAAATAACATAATAAATATTCTAGGAGTGAGGGCAGGAGTGGGTGTTTGAACCAACTTATACATGTTGTCATCATACATCATAAGAAGATACGAAACCAGTTTAATGAAGATGGAGGAGACAGCAATATCACATCACAAGTTTTGATTTAAACATTTGACACAGTGTGAGGGTGTACCCACTGGTAATGCACATTCAACAGCCAAAGTGATTCAACTCGGCATGCTCTAACTTTTCCCACTACGTAGAATTTGATAATTGCGAGTCATCAAACCTATAATGTTTTGACACAGTACTTATGTACTCTTACATCCGAAAGGTTCCATATTGTAACCCTAGATTCATGGGTAGGGGCACATAGATAAACTGTATTATTTGATAATTGGGAGGACCGGAGGAGACATCACGAGCTATGTCTCTCTTCATTCCTTCTTCTTTTTTTCCCTTTTCTTGTTTCATAAGTACAAATTGTTTTTTTTTATTTTTGATAAGTGAGTACAAATTGTGTTTATTCCTTCTCCTTAGAGCAAGTGCATGGTGATCCAATGGTGTTTGTTCCTCCTACAATGAATGAATAAAGACCTAGGCCCCATCACATGTCATGTATCATGCACTTGCTACGGACCCGCCGGAGAAATTAATGACCTAGACTAGCTCTTATGTATCTTTGGTTCTCATCTCTAAGAAAGCAACCATGACACATTACCATTGCAGATTCACTTGACGAGAACCACACATACAACTCTACGAAAACGTAAAGCATTAGAACCACATCAACCACCATTACTACATAAAACCAACTAATAAATCAGATGAAGGCGGAAGATAATCAACGCGACTACAACAACAACAACAACAACTACGCCTCAGTCCCAAACAAGTTTGGGATGGTGATATGAATCCACATTCCTTTCATTAAGCTCAACTTATATCATCATAATTACGACAATAAAATAAAAGTGCAAGTAATATATATATATATATATATATATATATACAAAAAAAAACAATAATAATAATAATGATGATGATAACAGAAGTTCTCTACTAAGTCTAAATCCTATTCCCAACTAGCAGGAATCAACATGACTATGCAAAATAATCTTCAACGCATTTTGATTTGGCAAGCCCAAGATGCCATGGGACTGAAACATATCCACAGATTCAGCAAATCTTTAGTTTCTCAAAGTGGTAGGGTTATTTAGTAAATACAGCGTATTCGTTACACATCATACGGATTTAGCTGCATAAACCAACTCAATTTGGACTAGCAACAACAATTGAAAAAACATTTGAAGCTCAGATCTACGGCCCAATGCAGTATTCACTATTTCCTGGAAATTGACAAATAAACATAACAGAAGCTTACATAATAGGTAGCTAATTTCCAGTTTGTTACATATGTGGCTTGAATACCCAAATACTCCATGCAACGAGGATTCACTATTTCCAATCTAAGAGCTCAAAGTCAACATATAAAAGTATAATATCGGCATTCTATCCTACATTTGCCTCTCCATATATTGGTGTAACTCACATCATGTTTTCACTTTAGAAGTTAGAACCAAGGTCCAAGCCAAAAAGTATTTCAAAATTCTTCACTAGTTATCTCCAGGACAATATTCACTCTCTAAAAGCAGATAAATAATCCAAAAATTCTAATCACTTCACAAAAATTCAACTCATAAAGATAAGAATCATCACCAATTCATCACTACAAACCCCAAATTTTTTTATCTTTGCACCTAGCTAACAAGGAAAAACACCCAAAAATCTAACAGATTCACACAAAAAAGCTGAAAATATTATGCGACAACATACAATACAAGGCAAATTGTTTATATACCTGAATAACTCCAGCCATATAAGAAGATTGGATCCCATCTAATGGGCATGCCAAATCTTGATGAAACCCCATAAAGATTGAATCTTTAAGGGATTTCAAGGGGCAAACTGAACGAAACGACATCGTCCTAGTCTCCGGCGAGGCCAGCCCTTCAAAGACCATCAATAAAACCACAAACCCAGCTGCCCAAACACTTAAAAGACCCATTTTTTGAAGGACTAAGGGTTTGCTTTGTTATTCTTTTAAATGAATTGGATCAGAATATTGTGGGCCCACCAAAAGAAAACCCTAGAGCAATAAATCGACGTTGGCGGTGGCGGTGGTTGTGGCGGTGGTGGAGGAGAGAGCCCGGCGCATGTTAGCGTTAAGGCTCACAGATATTATTTGAGAGGACTGAGAGGAGGATAGAATTATTATTCTTTTTGGTTAAACGTTAAAAATAAAAATAAAAACAGTATATTTTTCTGTGTGTTGGATTGTTGGAACATCAAGATCCACTATGTAATATGGACCAGTGTGTAAAGTGATCGTGCGGTTTGTACATTTTGCTGATTTTGTTATACTTTATTAGATTTCTTTTTTGCTACCGATAATGACATGTGAGTCCTATTGTCCTTTTGACATCCTATTAGAATTTAGGGTCCCTTTTACCACAGTCCACAGGTGTTCTATCAAAAGTAAAATCAAATAAACAATAATTCGGGATGTGGTGAAATAATTGTGATCCCGTTTTTTTTTATTTGGAATAGATTATTTATTGATAAAGAATTTTTTTACCTTCTTAGATGAGTTACCTGGCACAAAATCAAATTAATCTAGCTTGTGAATTTTGAAAATCGAATGCTAAAAAAATCAATAAACAGAAATACAATTCATGTATACTATATGACATTCTATTTATTTTTATGAAGCTCTAAATATCATTAATTTTAGAAGTCCTATCTGGTTTAACTTAACATATTTTCTATAATTTATCACTACTTTCAAAATTTATAATTATTTAATATGTACTATTTTTCTTTTATATATCAAACTAGGATGTCAATCATTTCTAATAGTTTCTTCCATTACTATCGGTGTGATACATAAATTGATATTTCAGATTTGTTATCCAGAAGAGTTATAGTATCATTAGATAACAGCTATAACTAATTCCAAAAGGGAAAAACCAACTCCTATATGTACTCTTTAAGAATAATTATCCATGTAGATTGATTGATCAAGAAACAATAGTTTATATTAAGAATTTTAATCCATTTGATTATATAGAAGATTAAGTTAAATCTTTAAGGACATAAATAAATTCGAATAAATAAATGGTAAGATCAAACTTTTGTACCAAACTGAACTTCAGTAATAATTTGAATTCTTATATTATAAACCTTCAATTAAATTTCATATCACTGTGAAATAGTTTTATATGACAGTGTCGTTACAATTTTAATTACATCGCAAAAAGAAGTTACAAATTCATTGATAAATTAAAATGAAATCAACTGTACGGATATGTGAGAGCATAAACTAGTCTGTTAATTTGCTTATTCGATATAAGCCTTTCAACTAAGCTTTTTCTCACAAATAGATTGATGGGTTATCAATGTCTTTGCCTTATGCTTCTGATGTTTTGATAATCTAACAAACTTGTCGTGAAGAACCAGATAGAGAACCTGACCTACATTTCAACTGTCCTGGTCCATGAACGACCTCAGGGAGGAACACAACAGGGATCTGGTGATTCGGTCCCTTAGGGTTCGCTGATAGATTTACAAGTCTGTGACTGCTCGCAATCATTACAAAACAACAGGGACCTGGTCTCTTAAGGTTCCTTGGCAGGAGTACAAGTTAACTGAACAACCGGAACGTATCAGTGGAAAGTGACTATCTCGCAAGTGTTACAGAAGAGGAACACAACTGGGACCTGGTCCGTTAGTGTTCTCTGACAGAAGTACAAGTCCACTATCCAGCTGGAACGCAACTGCACAGAAGTGACTGTGCAGACAGTGCAGCAGTCACTTCTCACTGGGAAGAAGCGTACATCAAGAATTGACATCACTATCCATTGTGATATCTTTTGTGATATAACAACCTGGTGCAAGATATAACATCTTTGTGCATTCAGTGATATTCTATCAAGCATAGCAGCGTTCATCCAGCATCGAAGTCACTGGTGTGTCAAGAACAAGAAGACAACTCCACTAAGGATCAATTTCTTAATGAGTTTATGTACATCCGTAGTTGAGTTGTAATCTTGTTGTTTGCTCTTCATTGTATTTCCTAGTTTGCTTTCTTAGAAGCCTTGTCTTAGGAACAAACCAAAATTCGTAAACTTCCAAGTTTATGTTGTGACTAGGAATAGTCATAAGTTTAAAGCCTTTGTAACTAGGATAGTTATAGAGTGGCTTGTGGTGGTGCATCACAAGTTAGTTGAAGTCTTTGCAATCGGGTTATTGCAAAGTGGCTTGTAATAGGGAGATTGCAAGTTAGTAAAGTGAAAAGCCTACAAGAGTAGGTCGTGGTTTTTTGATCCCCTTGTGTGGGATTTTTCCACGTAAAAATTTCTTGTCTTCTTTACTTCCAGTCGTTATAGCATCATCTCATATAGAACCAGGTACTCTATAGTTTGGCGGACTCATATAAACTAACAATTGGTATCATAGCAGGTTCCTCCTATCAGGCTAACACCTAGGAAGGATCCTTATGGCCGCTCCATCCAACTTTGAGGAAGGACAATCAACATACAGACCTCCCAGATTCAATGGTCAGTACTATGACTGGTGGAAGACCCGCATGCATAATTTTATGATGGCAGAAGATTCAGAACTGTGGGACATCATCTGTGATGGTCCACATGTCCCCATGAAGAAGCTTGAAGAAACAGGACAAATGGTGCCGAAAGGCAGAAAAGAGTACGACGACATTGACAGAAAAGTTGTAGAAAAGAACTATCGTGCCAATAAAATCTTGATGTGTGGCATAGGACCTGATGAGTACAACAGAGTCTCAGCTTGTGACACTGCCAAAGAAATATGGGAGGCGTTGCAAACCGCTCACGAAGGAACTACTCAGGTCAAACAATCCAAGATTGACATGCCTACCACAGAATATAAGCTCTTTAGGATGAAGGGTGATGAATCTATACAAGATATGCACATTAGATTCACCTCCATCATAAATGAGCTTCATTCACTTGGAGATGTCATTTCAGAAACAAGCTTGTAAGGAAAATCCTCAGTGTTCTACCTGGGTCTTGGGAAAGTAAGGTAAATGCCATCAATGAAGCTAAAGATCTACAAACTTTGACCATGGATGAGTTGATTGGTAATCTGAAGACATACGAGATGAAAAGAAAGAAAGACAGCGAAAGAAGAGAGCCTAAGAAGGAGAAGAACCTGGTACTCAAAGCCGAAAGCAGTGACTCAAGTGATGAAGATAGTGATATGGCGTATCTTACTAAGAGATTTCAAAAGATGGTTCGAAGAAATGGTGGTATACCAAAATGGGGCAGTTCAAGTAAAGCAAGGAACAACAATCTCTGTCACAGATGTGGAAAGCCATGGAATTTCATCAAAGACTGCCCACTCACAAAACTGGAGCAATACAAACAAAATCTGGACAAAACAGCAAAAAGGAACCTGGTTCCAGACAAGCGATTCAATCGAAAAAATGCTGCTGACAATATTGTTAAGCAGGCTCTAGCTGCTTGGGAAGACTCTTCGAGTGAATCCGAAGGGGAACCAGATGCGGAAAACAGTTCCATGATGGCAATGGAAACTGAAGCAACGAAGTATGATTCACCGTTCGCGCTGATGGCTCAGTCTGATGATGATGAAGACGATGAGGTAAACTTTAGGGATGTTCAGAGAAATCTGAAATCCTACTCTTCCAAGAAGCTAAGGTCGTTAGCAAATGTCTTAATTGATGCATATTATAGCCTTGTTAATGATAAGGAGATCCTGACCATAGAACTAGGAGAAGCCGAACAATCTAGAGATGAACTGGTGGTCTGTGTAGTAGACCGAGATGAGACCATAGCTAATCTTGAAAAAGAAAATGAGTCCTTGATTGAAAGAATAACTAGTGTGGAAAATGAGAGAAACGACCTGATTGTAGCAGTTGTTGATCTAAAAGAAACAATAGAAGGTCTTAACAATGAGAAACACACCTTAGAAGAAAAGATTGCAAATACTGAGAAAGAGAGAGATGACCTTTTAGTGATATGCACCGATCTAGAGAAAACCATTGAAAGGCTCAATAGAAAACATAGGAATGTGATGCTTGGGAAAGGGAAGGGAGTAGCTAGTGAGACACACACCAATCTTGAAAAGAAATTGAATGCTGTAAAAACCAGTCTATGTAGTGAACTTGAGAAGAATCAGCAACTTCAAGCTGAATTGGAGAAAGTAAGAATGGATCTTGAGAAGTCTCTGAAGTGGACCTGGTCCTCAAATGCTGTCACCGCCATGTATCTCAACAACAGTGGGAACAGGCAGGGCATCGGGTTTCAAAGGGAGAAAACTCCCTACAACCCTCACAGCAAGTATGTAACTTTCCCTGATAACTGGCTATGTACCCACTGTGGGAACAATGGGCACTTTAAAGAAAATTGCCAGGCCAGGGTTCAGTCTGTTCAGAAAAACAAAGTGTTTACTGATAAAGTGACTACTAACAAGGGACCAGGTACCACTTGCAAGAAATGAATGTTGCCTGCATGGACTAGGAAAACCCTTATCATCCTTTCTCTCATAACAAGGGGCCCAAACTAGTTTGGGTTCCTAAATCTAACCCATGATTTTCATGTGCAGGGAACAGTGAGAGGAAGTAGACTGCAATGAACTATGGACTTGGATGCCAAAATCATGTGATTGAGGGCATCTTGGAATTCTTCTCACTGAAAGCCCTACAAGAAGGGAATGTATCCTAAAAAAAAAAATAGAGGGTACATTCTCGGTGAATGTAAAGTTGGAATGGTTCTTTGGCACTCTGGAACTCAGTTGGGAACGTGTACTATGTGAATGGTCTAAAGTACAGTCTCCTGAGTGTTTCTCAAATCTGTGATAGAAGAAACAAAGTAGAGCTCTTATCAAAAAGTGTGCACAGTTACCAATCTGATAACTGGACAAGTGGTCTCAACGGACAAAGGAAACAAGAACATCTACTTTGTTTTCTATGAATCTACATAAGCTGGTGGTATGAGATGGGCGTAGTCGGAATCATTGGCATGAAGGATTGGTGTATCCAAGGTTCTCACTTTCTGAATAAATTGATTCAGAAGAACCTGGTCTGTGGTCTGCCAAACTCAAGATTCACCTGGACACTGGTTCGCTAAACAAAGGAGGGGGATCTTGAAGTATGAATGGACCTTATCAGTAAGATTCAAGTAAAGACAAAATTGAAGGAGAACAGATCAGATCCGACCACGGGACAGAATTGAACATCGCCAAGAGTTTCTAGGCAAAAGCAGGAAACGTTGATTCCCTACTTAGT